AGAAGAAAGTGGAAGAAATGTAGAAGACAACAGAACAAAAGAAGAAGATGGAGAAAAGAAGAGGAAGAAGAAGAAGAGTTCGATAATCTCCTCTCTCCCATCACTAATCCTTTTGTTAATCTTCATTTTCTAAGTTAATTACAAGTATGCCCTTAAGTGGGCGGCCAGCTAAACAAGAACTTAAAATAAACTTATAAAAAGAAGTAACAGGCCCATTAACAAACAAAATAAATAATACACTACATAAATAAAAGAATAGATACTAGGGCCCCTTCAGCCCAGTCTCTCTACAAATGGGAAGATTCCCTATAGAAGTTTCTATGAGGATAAGCTGGCCCCCTTTGAAAGGTAATTTTTCTTCCACGTAGCCAACTTTTTTTTAACATTTCTCCACCATTGTGTCCCAAAAGTTTTGACTCTTCGGATTCCAAGTGGCATTCCAAAATAGGACATGGGGAAATTCTCCACTTTACAATCCAAGACCTCCTTTCAGCTTTCCAAAAGGTTTCCATCATTGATATTTATTCCCACAATGCTGCTCTTTGAGAAGTTAACTTGGAGCCCCAATGTTTTCCAGCTTTGCACCCAACAAAAGAACAAAAATATGCAAATTGAAGATGTGATATATGCACAACTTCTCTCCCCACTTCAAAACCCTTCACCAACACCAAACTCTTTGCTTTCTCAACAAGATAACTAAAGACGTCAACCACTAGAGTGAAAAGAAGAGGGGAGAGGGGGCAACCTTGTCTGAGGCCCCAACTAGCATTAAACTATCCTTTCAATTCACCATTAATCATCATCGAGAACCAAGAAGAGCTTATACACCCTTTCATCCACCGAATCCACCTTCAGACAAACCTTTTTAGCCTCATGATCTCAACAAACAACCCCAAACTATTTTGTCATAAACCTTTTCAGGATCAAGCTTAATGATAATACTCAGAGTGCCCTTTTTCTTTCTATCTTCAACCGTTCCACTGCACTCTTTAGCTACTAATATGTTATCAACAATTTGGCACCCTTTTATGAAAGCATACCAATTAGAAGAGATTCTCCCATCACTTCTTTCAATATCCCTACTAGAAATTTTGCTAAAATCCTGTAGGTACTTCCAGTTAAGCTGATAGATCTAAGTCTTTTGCCTCCAAAGTACCTTCTTTCTTCAGAATTATGCTGATAAAAGTTGAATTATTGCCTTTGTTTACAATACAAGCTTGGCAGAAGTCCTTAAAAACCTCCAACAAATACGACTTGATGGCGTCCCAACAGAGTTGGTAGAAGAACAAAGGAAATCCATCCAGCCTTGGAGCTTGGTCCCTGCCCATATTGAAAACAGCTTCCCTTATTTCTTGTTCACCTTATCTTCCAGCAGCATCAAACCCTCCAAATTACTTAACTTAAAATTTCTCCTGCCTTCCTTGGAGCACAGATCTTTGGAATGGTTAAGGATTGCCTCAAAGATCTCTTCAAAGTCCCCCACTTCCCTTTGCCCAACCTTTAATTTTTAGATGTAATTATTTCTATGTCTCCTTGTAGCATATCTATAAAAGAATCTGGAATTGTTGTCTTCCTCTTTTAGCCATTTTACTTTTGATCTTTGTCTACAGTATACTTCCTCCTTCCTCACTATCAATTCCCAATCTTTTCTCAAGGCTGCCCTTCTACTTCTGCTTTATGCTTCCAACAAACCATTCTGCTCTTTGAAGCAAGGTTCAAAATTTCGACACAATACACTCTATCATATTGTTGGCTGACCAAAACACCTTCTTTAAGGCTTTTCCATAAACTTAGATTTTTAAGTGTCCCTTAAAACTGACCCCTCTGTGAAAATGTTAGAGTTAAAATTAAAAAAATAAGATGTTTTGTAGTATCAAAACACCCAATGCACATGTTCATGTATATTGAGTGTATCAATACTCTGAACCTTGCTTTGAAGTTTACCTAACTCTAGGAGACTTTTGTTTTTTTTCCTTTTGCAAAAGATTTAAATTTCTCTTTACCCCCAGCCTTTAAATTCCTTTTCATAAACTTCAATTTTCACAGAAATCAAAACCCCACCCAGCCATCCACCCTACACTCCTCCCACCAAACAGCTACCTTTTTCCAAGTCTTCATGTAGAGTCCACACCTTCTCCAGTCTAAATGGTGCTTTTCCTGCTCTCACCACATTTATTTGCAGGGTAATTGGCCAGTGATCCAAGTGCACCAAGGAATATCTTGTGACATTAAATAACCACAATGAACCAAGGAATATCACTGTGCTCATTTATGGAGTCCAACTCCTCCCAAAATATGTTTCCTTCAGTAGACGAATTAGGCTCATAAACCCCAATAAGAATCCAATTGAATTCTCTTTTGTTAGTAAAAAGAACTGAAATGGAGAATTCCCCAATGTCTACTTCCATTCCCGACACCTCCTCTTCTCTCCAAGCAATAATTATTTCTCCCAAGGTACCCATAGTAGGAAGAGCTGCCCACTTTCTACCTATTATTCCCCAAATTGCCTCAATTAATTTCCTGTCAACCAACTTCTTTTTTGTTTCATGCAAAATCACAATATTTGGATTTTCTCTTTTAAGAGTATCTTTTACTAAACATCTTTTCATTTCACCTCCTAAACCCCTCACATTCCAGATTAAAATTTTCATTGAATCATTGCAACAAGAATCCCTAACCAACTTACTTCTAACCCAAAACAAAATATTACTGGAATTAACATATTCCCCAGTGAAAACAACTAGTGTTATGTGGAGCATAAGAGATGGTGATATGGCATAAATTGGAACAATATTGTAGATATGTAGAGTATCAGTATTATTGCCTGCCAAATGAACATGATTACCACTTTGAGCCAACTTGAAGTTCTTCTCAAACAAGAAGTTAAATCTTGGTTTTTTTTGTATAATAAATTATTTGGTTGCTCTAATAGAATCATTTGCAGTTTATATAAGTTAAACTTTTGCTTGAACTCATTCTATTATGTAGTTTAACGGACAACTTCGCAGCATTTTTTTTGTCTGTTAACCTTAGTTTCTCAACTTTGTTTAATAGTTTGGAACAAAATAATAAATTAAAAGGTTGTACCTATGTTTATTTTATCATTTCATAAAATATCATACCATATTTTCACATATTTCACAATGTTTCCACCATGTCTCTAATTTTTACAATATTTCCATATGTCATTTCCAACGTGTTTCCTATATTTTGATAACCGACATTACCACCAACACTGACATTTTAAACCTTGGCCGTATGTATGCTAAATTTTTTTAACTCTAAGCATCATAGGCACAACCTATAATATGCTAAACTGTGTGATCAACATCAAATTCAAGGTCAACTCATCAAAACATGGCAACAATCCATGTAAGATGCAACCCACAAAACGAGCCCCACCTTTGAGACTAAACACCCTAGGCATGCCTCTAAAAAGACTGCTAAAATCTAGGTAGTAAATACCTAAAGGCAATTGCCCAATGTTGGTCCCAGCTATCTAGGGTCTTGGGGGGGTAGACTGGGTATGGTCCTAACCTCTGGTATTTTTTTCTGCACAAACCGGCCACCCTCAGACTCGAATCTGTATCCTCACACTTTCCAGACCAAGATTTTACCATTACACCAAGCTAGGCTGGTGAGTTTCCACTCACCTTGGAAACCTCTTCGAGGGAGGCTTGACCTCCTGAAACAGAAGATGGAGAGAAAAGAGAGAAGGGAGGGAAGGAATAAACTCGACTCAGGGAGAAGAAAATTGAGGGAGAATCATTCATTACTTTCATTATATGATGATGGCCTTATATAGCTGGCCTACAGGTGTAATATCAGAGGGAATATCCTCTGATTTCTGGATAACTAACTCTGGCAGATAACATGGATGGAATATCTTCAGGTGGCAGAGTAACCAACTCTGAGTGTAACTAATTCTGGGGCTCTGCCGCCTGTCTCCTCTGTCTTCTTGTGAATGGCTGATAGGTGGTGGCCTGCTCCACTCCCCTAGTGGGTTCTGGAGGGGGTGTTTGGGTCTCAACATAGGCCATATGTATGGTTCATGAAAATGCAAACTTGGTTTAGCTTTGCATTAATAAATCCCATATTCTTACTAAACATATTTGGTTGCAAGCACGAATTCCAAGAGTGGAACCTACCTTCTTTACATTGATCAACTTTGAGTGAAAAAGTTTACTTCCAGTTTGCTCCTGTTTTGAATGCGAACATGTCAGAAAAAATAAATTTACTATCATCTTCAGTATGGACATATTCTTACCAAATGCTTACAAAGCTGAACTGGAGTGCAAATTCGCTTCAGTTCAGCATTTGCACTCTTTTGTATGCAATGCTCTTTTGCATTGGTATAAATGCATGGGAGTGCAAATAGGCTGAGTGCAAAATCTGGATTATTTTTGCTTCAGCATTTGTCTTTGTCTTATGTTTTGTGAGAAGTAAAATTATGTGGGGCCACATTATACAAAAGAAAATGGAGATAGGAGGAGAGTTATTTGGTTGGGAGCTTAGCAAGATGATATGGTCTCCACTTTCTATGAGAGAAAATTAAGATAAGAGGAAGGTGTACAGATTTTGCATCAGTTTTTAAGATGCAAAATGTGCACTGCCAATGAGTGCAAATGAGTCAAAAAGTACAAATTTTGTATCAGATAAGAGTGCAAATCATAATTACAAACAAACAGATATAAAAATTTGTATCTGGTTCAGATTTTGCACTGCAAATAAAGCCAATGACCGGACAATTTGTTTTGGGGGGAGGGAAAGAAAAGACCAGCATTTTCATTGGCTACCGCAGGGCGAAAGAAGTTAACTGTGCTACGCTTTATTAATCGGGAACACAACATCAAGTCATCAATACATCATGCATCCGGAAATGAGAAAGCTAACAAACGTGCTCTTGTTTAAAACAAAAAAGATGTAAAGTTGGATGGAAATAGAAGAAAATCTAAATTTTGCGGAAAATGATACCAAAGATAAAAGGGCAAGAGAATTACGTCTTGTACAAGGCAACGAAGATGTTCTGTGCCTCGCTTGTAAAGTTGTAACGCCCACGCCTATGCCTCTATCTCTGCTTGTCTGCGATCACCTCTCAACCTCTCATGAAAACGTTGTAATCATGATTAGAAAAAAAAAGTAAAAAAAAAAAACTAAACATATTCTCCAAAACGCTATCACCTTATAGCAGATTCCTCCCTGGCGTGAAGAGTATTAAGGTCGAGGTAGCATTTCTTTACATCGAGTGGGTCTTCTTCCTGCCTTAAAAGGAATGAATTCTTTGATATAGTTAGCTTTCAAGAACCGAACATTTCGACGAGGGCCAGCTTTGGAGCCCTCCTGTGCTGATGAAAGCTCGTTAGAGAATAAAGTAATGGACTATAGAAAAGAAGAAGGGAAAATCTATGAGTAATGGAACCACCTAGAAATTCGTACCGTAAAGGATATGAAAGAACGAGAATGTTGGAATGTCTGTCGAAACTGATAATCTGACATTGGAACTCTTCCCCTATCGTAGTATTCTAAATGTAAATGGCGAGCAAGAAATAACCAACTGCGAAGTGGAGCATTTAGTTGAGCTGAGAACTGAGATGAGCTGACGCCACACGCATCAACGTCTCCCTTCACGATTCTGGGACGAGAGTTCCATCTGCTGCGATTCCCTTCAATGAAACATCAACACGCCAGCAATAGAAATAAATTCAAAATATCCCGTGAACTACCCCCTTTTTATTTCCATCGCTGGTGTGTTGGTATTTGATTGGACTCACAAGTCACAAAGCAGTGCTCTGACCGTCCGTAATCGCAGCAGATGTACACACAGGACTGACTAACGAGCCTGATCTGAGGCTGAGGCAAGTATCAGTCTATCAGATCAGACCATGGTTTTTAAAATCAGATCGGATCGGTCAGGTGATTAGTCCGTTTTATTCCAGAATCATTATTTTGCCAAAAATTATTGATTTGATCAACAAATCATTTATTCAGGCGTTTGAACTGTTCAATAATTTGATCATTTTTATTTTTTTTATTTTTTTATTTTTTATTAAAACGAACTATCTATTTGATTTGAACAATCAAACCGTTCAACCCAGGAATTGGACCCTGATTAATTCGTTGTCCGGTTTGATTTTAAAAACTTTGGATCAGACTCTATATATAAAAGAAGGATTTAAAACTAAATTGAGGCATATATTAAAGTCAAGAAGGGTGTTTATATATTGCGGGGCCGGCCCTATTGCTAGACATGCTGGTAGATGCAATTTTGGCATATCCAAATCAGACTTAAAGAGTACGACTTGCCTCGTTTATAAGAGACAGGGACAATAAATTGAGGTATGAATTTGATGGATGTCGTTTGTCAGGCCCATGTGATGTGTGATGGATGTATGGGAATATGAGATGAGAGGGCTTATCTCTCACTATAATATAAAATATAATATTAAATATATGGTGAGGTGAGACCGTGAGAGGTTATTTTAGTTGGAGTTTACTTGCTCCAAATCCAATAATTCAAACTCTGAATAACAACAACCAGTCTTTATCATGAGCCAGCATCAGTAATGCTGTCGATTGAGATGGTTCTAGAGATTCCACGGACAATAATCAAATTCAATATCATTGGTGGGACCGCCCACATCAGCTTTGAAGGTGGCCCAAATGAGTTATTATATTGTATTGTTTCTTACTTTCTCCACCTGTCCATCTCACCTCACTGCAGAGATGGGCCAAGCGGCCCAAGCAAATTAAGCCCAAAACAAAAATAAAAGTCCTCATGCCTTAAACGAGCTATTCTCCAAACTACAAAGCAATGTTTTCAGAACCGGACCGGATCAGACAGTTGGATAAAGTTTTATTTGGCCAAAAACGTTGATTTGGTCAATGAACCACTGATCGAGGAAGTCAAACCCATTGAATTATTCAACTGTTCGATTTGAGAATGATTTTTGGGCATTTTTGGGTTTTTTAAATTTTTAATTTTTTTTGTTAGAATAGACCATTTGTCCGGACCGAACAATCAGACCATTCGACCCAAGAACCGAACTATAATGATTCTCTGTCCGATCCAATTTTAAAAACCTTGCTCCAAACTCCAAAGTACCATATCACCTCTAATTTTGTCCCAATTCCGAACATGGAGAAATATGCATCAGCGTCCGGCCAGACAAATCATCTCTAATGTTTTCATAAAATGTCTGCAGATAGTGATCTCGAGGGTTTTAAGATCAATAAAAACACCTTAAAAAATATACAAAATTAGCTGGGAGGAAGAGAAATACTCAACCTTTGGCAAAGAGAGTCAATTTCCTTATATTTATTATCTTTATGGTTCCACAATTTGTAATGATAGCTTTTAAATTCTTTAAATTCTTGTGGGGCAAGAGCGATGAGAAATCTTTTCACCTAATCAAATGGAATGTTGTATGCAATAGGGGTGGCACCGAGCTCTTCACGAGCTACTTGAGCTCGGTTCGGCTCGGTTTCAACCGAGCTTTGAGCCGAGCTCGAGCCCAATTCACTGGATCGATTATGAAACGAGCCAAGCTCAAGCCTATTAGAGCTTGGTTCATGAACCGGTTTGAGTACATATTATATATATATATATAATAAAAATATTATAATTCTTACTTTTTTAAATATCAAATAAAAAATATTTTTGTATATAATTTTTTATTTTTATAAAACATTTTTTTTCAAAATCGAACTCGATGTTATAAATTTTTTACTCGAATTCAAGGTTCTAGTTCGAACTGAGCTCAAACTCAAACCTTGTAAAACAGTCTCGAGCCGAGCTCGAACCTTGTATTATTTGACTCGACACAGCTCGGCTTGATTCACCCCAATGCAAATGTAAAAGTGATGGAGAGTGGGGAATTAAAAACCTATGGATGATGAATGAGTTCAGCCGGTGTTGCAAAACTAGGATAGAAAATCCTTACCCAGCTTAACAGGTTGTAGGTTCAAGTAATGAAAAATAAATATACATAATAAAAGTAATTTTTGAAAGTGGAGGGCCTGGAGGTTAAAAGTGGAAACGGTTGTGCTCAAATGTCAAGGGTAGGTTTAATCCTAGAATACATAGCTAGGCTACTATGGCAGAACAGGAATAACAAAATTTTTAATGCAATGGCGATTGAGAGGACAAGATGGAATAGTACTGAATTTTTTCAAGTGTTCCGCAACAAAGAACCTACCTCACATGCTTCAAGTAAAACTCCAGTTCAATGGAAACAACCAGAAGACAGCAGATCAAAATTAGGACAAATTTCTTAAATTACATTACTGTTTAGTTAATCGATAAATTGTACCGTTATTATTTAATTATTGTCTTAAACCACTTCTATTGTTTTCGGCAATTGATTAATTCTAACCTTGTTCTTAGCATCCGCTAAAGTTCTGTTAAAATCCTTGACACCATGTGATTTATAATTTTTTAAAATCTAATATTACCCTCCGCCCTCTTCTATAAGTCGAGTAAGAATCGCCTTCCATGAGCGAGACTTTTACACTGGCTCTCCGATTAAGCATTTCCATCCAGAGGTGTCTTCGACTATGGTAAAGCCGGTGACTTCATATCTATTTCCGGAAATGGCTTCAAATCTGCGGCAGAGCCAAGAATACAAACAACCAAGAGAGAGAGAAAAGAAAAAAGAAGAGAGAGGGAAAAGATAAAGGAGAGAATAAAAGAGATAGAGAGGCCATCGAGCTCAAAAAGGAAACAGCAAAGAGCCTCACCGACCGCCCTCCAAGCTGTAACATTGCGCTTCTATTTCCGGTGCCCAGTCAAAACCGCCGCCGCTGTAACATTGTCGTTGAAGTTGTTCAAAGCTCCTGTATTCTTTGATTGCTCATCCTTAATTGTATTCCTTGGTCCTTCTCTTCATCCTTAATTTTAGGAAGACCTGGTAACCTATATTGGAGAAGACAGTCGGTTAGTCGGTTACCGTCTAGCTGTAAATGACATGGCAATCAATTCTTGATTCTGAATAACAGATTATGACATATAGGGGTCATTAGGCACCACGTTAGCAAAAGTTTCGATAAATGTCTATCCATTGGGGAAAGTTTCAAAATAAAACTTTTTGAAATGGAAGAGACACACAAAAATCAATGTTTGTTTTTGCAAACATTAATACTCATGATGCACATAATGACGCCTTTGTTGATAGAATGTCTATGTGACAACGTTTACTTAATAAATACCAACGTAATCTCTCTCTATATATATATACATAAAATTCCTTTTCTTACTCTCTGTTTTGATACAAAACCCAACACCTTCCTACAAATGTCTCCTAATGGCAGTAAAATGAACTACCAACCCCATTTTGAATTTCTCTTCTTCTTGTTATTTTTGTTGTTGGACATCGTTATTCTTTAAAGCCCACTGTCGCGGTCTCGCCTCACTCAAGGCTTTTTTTTGTTCTCTATCTCTAGTTGTTTATCTCTTCGTTTGTCACTCTTCTGTTGTGTTTATGTTGTTATTTAAGGAGAATTTGGGGTGATTAATGAACTGGAGCGACTTCACTATCGTCTTCTACACTCCGTTAATGCTTTGGAGCCCCAAAATTCAGAGGTCGTCTGATAAACAGCTTTGCTATCTCAATTGGGATTTTTCCGTTATTGATGATTTCGTTTTAATCACCTAGATTTTGGCTTATATCTGTTGGTTTGCAGCTGACTGTGAAAACTTATCAGGAATTTCAACGACGTTTGAGACAAGAGGAAATACTTGCAGATTGTCAAGTCTGAATTGATCTCTTACTTCTTTCGTTTCATTTTACTGTGAAAACTGAGGAATTCCGTTTCCAGCCATCAAACACTTGAAATCTGGGTTGTTGTTCAAGCCCTTGGTCAATGGCCGTATGTGTTTCCTCTTCCACGTGTTTTCTTGAACTCCTTATTCTTCTCTTCTCTTTCCTTAACGCCCAAGCTGGTTTCAATAACAACAGCACGGTGGAATACTTGAAAATCAGTCAATGGCGGTATGTGTTTCCTCTACCACGTGTTTTGCTTGAATTTCTTGTTCTTCTCTCCTCTTTCATTAACGCCCAAGCTGATTTCAGCAACAACAGCTTAGTGGAATACTTGAAACTACAATTACTTCACAGAAACTCGTTTGTTTCTCCAGCACGAGCTGTGTCTTTAAACTCTAAGTGTCTTTCTGTTTTTTTTTTGGCCTTTTAGGAAATCAGTTTTTCATTTATTTTTTATGAAGTTTTATAAAAATTTTCAGAAAAAGAAACTTGGTCAATATCTCATCCCTAAGAAATCTTCGTTTGCCTCGTCTCTCGTCTTTGAACGGTGGGAGCAGTGGTTGTGGGGAGGCAGTGCTGCACTTATCTCCGATCTATTTAAGCCTCGTTTGGCTCATGGGAATAGGGGTTTGGAATTGGAATTGGAATGGGTTATTTCGATTCCAATTGGATGGAATCAAAATCTCATTCTCATTTCTGCTGGAATGGCATTTTTCCATTTGAGGGAATAGTTATTTCCTATCCCTCCTTTGGGAATAAAATCTCATTCCTGCTGATTTTAATTTTCATTCCCATTTCTATTTAAACCAAACAGACTATAGGAATGGACCATTCCGATTCCGATTCTAAAAGATTTTGATTCCAATTCTAATATGAGATCAACTGTCACAGATTGAATGGAAGTGCATAAGTGCAGCAGATCCAGACAGCTGACTCTGGAAATAACCCATTTTGCTCCTGACTAACAATTAATAAATCATAGCGTTCTTATTTTGATATGTTCAATCGACTGG